CGTGAAATAAAAAGGTTCCCAGCCTCCCTTTGGCCCTGGATAGGGTTTGGGATTAATGTGAGCATGGTGCACATTGTGCTCCAAGGACACCCCGTGCCTGCCGCGCACGGCCACTCCATGGTAGGTCATGCAGTGGTTCCAAGAGTTCTTGTTTCAACACTAGGCTACGTCTACACTACAGGCGTCTAGCGCAAGAACTGTTCTGCGCAAGCGTTCTTGTGCAAAAGGTTTTCCACAAGAGAGCGTCCACACTGCCATGTGCTTTTGCACTAGAGCATCCATGGCAGTGTGGACGCTCTCTTGCGCAAGAAAGCGCTGATGGCCATTTTAGCCATAGGGGTTTCTTGTGCAAGAAATTCATGTTGCCTGTCTACACTGGCCTCTTGTGGAAGAGCTCTGGGGAGAGGAATAACTCTTCCAGAAGAAGCCCTGTTTTCAACGCTGGACTGTACATTTACTTGCGCAAGAACGCGTGTGCAGTATAGACGCTCTGCAAGTTCTTGTGCAAGAACAGCCATTCGTGTGCAAAAAGCCTGCAGTGTAGACGTAGCCAGAGAGAAGCTGTTCTTCCACAAGTCCTAGTGGATTCTTCCACAGCAGGGGACTGATCTGCAAGGCCAGCATGATGGGATCCATGTAACTGCACTGTACAGACACGGCCAGCTTGGACCTGCAGCCCAATGGGATCATCTAGGTTTTAGCAGCCTGGTACTGCATTGAGGAAGTCAGGTACAAAGTCATCCCCTTCCTATGTATAGGAAGTCAGGGTTAGCTAGGGTGGGCAGTCATTTTTGATGGGGGGGGGCCACTTCAAGATTTTGGTCAGTGGTCAAGGGCTGCACTTTTCTATGGAGGTGAGTGGGGTCTCAGACAGAGGCTGGGTGCATAAGAGACCTCTGGGTAGAGGACTAGGGTACAGCAGAGGGTGCGGGGTCTGCACGGGAGTTTGGGTGAAGCGGTGTGTGACTTGGGACAGAGGATTGGGGGCAGGGCCCAGGGAGTGCTGAAGTTATGACCTGGGGCAGGGAGTTTGGGTGCAGGAGAGGGTGAGGTGCCAGATGCAGGCGCTAGCCATGAGGCACTTAGCTAGGTAGCTCACAGCCAGCAGCCTTGGGACCTTCAGGCAGGCTGTCTGCTGCTGACACAGGCCGCTCAAAGTGGCCAGCTGCTGGAGGGTGATCTTTGCGTGTTGCCCCCACCCCCAGAACAATGCTTGCAGCTCCAGTGTTTGTGCCGGGGCAGGAGCTTTGAGCAGCCAGGGGTTGCCGCAGGCAGGGAGCCTGCCTGAGCATCCCAGCAGGCCACAGGTCTGAGCCAAAGCCTTGGCAGGTTTTGCCCATCCCGGTATTAGCACTTACTTGAGTTACCCAGGCAGCCCCAGCATTATGTCATAGACATAGTTCAGCACCCATCCAAGGGCCCAGTGTGATCAGACCAGGCCCTTCTAGCCCTGCTCTACTTCTCCCCTCGCCCGCTGCACGTGCCTTCTCCCTCAACCTTCACCCAAGCAGGGCAGGACAAGAGCCTGTGCTGATCTGGAAAATGCTGCATATTCAGTGTACAGGCAGGCAGAGTAAGAGCCACTGTGAACCTCACCGCAAGGCCCAGGGAACAGCTAACCCAGGATGTCGGCTGTTGCTAGCCAGTTTCAGGGGGTCACCTCTCATTTTTATGGCTCCAGGCTCTCTGATGAGCTCATTCTCCACATGGCATCTGGTTATCTGGTGCTGCAACTCGCCGCAAACTCTTCAAGCCAAGAGAGAAAAGCAGGAGAGTGACAGAGAGGGGAAGGAAGGGTGCAGAAAGCCCACCAAGCAGCAACCTAAACAAGAAAAGATTAAAAACCTGACCGTCAAGGAAAGATCTAAAACTGGGCATGTTTAATCTGAAGACAAGACGACAGAGGGGGACTGATCGACTGGCCCCCGTCTCCACTGACAGCAGGCCAAGCAACAGGCTTAGTCTGCAGCAAAGGCGATTTAGGTTAGCTATGAGGGAAAACTTTCTGTCAGGGTAGTTAAGTACTGGCACGTGTTACCATGCAAGGCTGTAGGGTCCCCATCCCTGGCCGTTCTTATGAGCAGACACCTGTCACAGACGGTCTCATTTTACTTGCCCTCCCTGAGCACAGGAGGAGGAACTAGAAGACGTTCGGGTCTTCTCAAGGCCCTGGTTTATGATTCTATAAAACACTCTGTTGCCAAGGCCAGTCTTTATGGCCATGAGAGGAGCAAGGAACTTGTTATTCTGGGAATGAGCAATCTTGTCCTTGCTGTGAACCTGATTACAAGCCATCACGGGGCATTCTCAGAGCCTTGCATAAGGGGCTTATTATCAGAACTGCCATTCAGTGACTGCACAGATAACATTCAAGAGGAAACAAGTTTAACAGTGTTAGACAACAACTCCGAAGAACATCACTGACAGTGTGAAGCCATGAGGGCGCCTGCCAGCTTCTGGGAAGGGGAGCAGCAGGCAGCTTGCTGATAGATTACATCCTACAGAACTTTGGGGTCCCTTCTGCAAATACATCCTCCCCCCACTCTTAAATAAGACAGAATATCTTATTACCTCTGTATAAATCCATGCTACACTCATATCTTGAATACTGGGTACAGATGTGGTTGCCTCACCTTAAAAAGAGATCTTGGCATTGGCAAAGGTTCAGAAAAGGGGAACAAAATGATGAGGGGTTTGGAATGGGTTCCATATGAAGTGAGATTAAAAAGATTGGGATTTTTCAGCTTTGAAAAGGGGGGATACAATAGAGGTCTACAAAATCAGGACAGGTATGGAGAAAGTGAATAAGGAAAATTTATTTACTTGCTCCCATAACATAAGAACTAAGGGTCACCCACTGAAATTAATAGGTAGTAGGCTTCAAACAAACAAGAGGAAGCATTTCTTCGTGCAGTGCACAGTCAACCTGTGGAACTCCTTGCCAGAGGATGATGTGAAGACAAGGACATTAAAAAGAACTAGATACATTCATGGAGGTAAGGTCTATCAATACTATTAGCCAGGATGGGCAGGGTTGGTGTCCCTGGCTTCTGTTTGTCAGAGGCCTGAAATGGGTGACAAGGGAGGGATCACTTGATGATTCCCTGTTCTATTCATTACCTCCAGGGCACGTGGCATTGGCCACCGTCAGGCTACACTGATCTGTGGTCTGATCCAGTATGGCCATTCTTATGTTCTCCCTCATCCAGCTCAGCGTAATGACTGGATGAGCTTGGCCCTGGCTCTGCCATTGGCTTACTTTGTGGCCTTGGGAAGTCACTTAATCTACAATTATTAAACTCAAGTGCCTACAGCTATGGATGTAGGGGAGCCCAATGTCTGACAGTTTTAGTTGTAAGCTGCCTTCCAACCTGCAAAACCCACCTCTGTAAAGAACTGAATGCTGGGCTTTGGGCACTAGGCAGGGCCCTCCTTACCCATGCGCAGAATACACAGCGTGTAGGGCAGCCACAACTGGGGCTCCGCTGGGTCTGAACATCTACCCACCTCTTCCTACCCTGTTCTACAGCTTTGCTTCCTCTGGAGAGGATGGAGTTAACTTACAAATGCCAGAGAGTTGGCAGACACTGAACCTGCAAAGGAGCCATTCAAGTGGAAAGGAAGCCATTTAACAGGCATTTGCCAGCCCCAGGAATACAGGCAGTCCCCAGGTTACCTACTAGATAGGGACTGTAGGTTTGTTCTTAAGTTGAATTTGTATGTAAGTCGGAACTGGTACATATTGTAGGGGAAACTCTAGCTAAACATTTCTCCAGAGCTCAGTTTTATTCTCCCACACCTCACTTCCCTCAGTCCTTTATTCTCAAGCTGAGGTGTCTGCTGAGAAAAGCCGCTCTGCGTCTCCCTGGTCTGCTGGGGGGACTACAGGCAGTCCCCGGGTTACGTACAAGATAGGGACTGTAGGTTTGTTCTTAAGTTGAATTTGTATGTAAGTCGGAACTGGTACATATTGTAGGGGAAACTCTAGCCAAACATTTCTCCAGAGCTCAGTTTTATTCTCCCACACCTCACTTCCCTCAGTCCTTTATTCTCAAGCTGAGGTGTCTGCTGAGAAAAGCCGCTCCACGTCTCCCTGGTCTGCTGTGGGGCGCGCTAGCTTCACGTCTCCCTGGTCTGCTGGGGGGAAGCAGCTAGTGCGGGGTTGCCTCACCCCGTTTGTAAGTAGGGATCCAATGTAAGTCGGATCCATGTAACCCGGGGACTGCCTGTATTCTGAGGAAAAAAACGCCTGTGGAACATGCCTGTAGACTGGACGGTCAGTGTCTGAATAGATTCTGTTGGTTCACAAGATGGGACCTCATTTCAAAGGCATTTCAGTAGCGCGGTGCTGAAGATTATAACATCATCCCCGCTCACTCCCGGGCTGCTGCCAGGCATGGAGGCTCCGGTTTAATAGTACTGTGTAGGGCCCCATACATCCTAAGGAGCCACTATTATTTGCCTTGGCACTTGCATCTGTAAAGCATTCCCCACACCAGAGCTTCTTCTCTATGGCACACACTGAAGTGCAGCTAATGCTGGGTTAGGGAGCAGCTGGCTCCCACAGGACGTATGGGCACTTCCGATGGCGCCAGGGATGGGGGCTGCAGCTAGACTGGCAGGAGGGGGAATGTCCCTCCAGGCTCTCTCACACTGCTGGGAACTTACTTCTCACTCCCAGCATCACTGCAAGGGCCTGGGCAAAGCAGTAACATGCAAGACAAGGTTGGTGCGCTGGTGCAGGCAGGGGCCATGGGCTCTATTCAGTCTCCACCGCTGTTCTGCTCTTTCAGGGGCCACCTCTCCCTAGGGAGGACAGGTGAATTGGGCCTAGAGGTTCCTCGTCCATACGAATGGCTTATTGGCCACCCAGCAGGGCAGCACCCTCTGCGCAGAAGGGAGTTTGCTCCCTGACATCACTGCCAACTCCTCATACGCCAGAGGCCATTCCCCATTAGATCTTGCTCCCCTGTCACCTGCACATGGGCGGCAGCAGCAGCTACTTCTACTCCTTTATTTGTAAAATTGCTTGTGTTTGCTTGGGCAGGACCACAAGGAGCTATTCTGCTGGCTGGGCCATGTGTCTACTGGCTGATTAAAGCCATGATTTCCAGGTACTTGGGACTTGAAATCAGCAAGACCCATAGAGCTCTTTGTTGGGTCCAATCTTCCCAGCAGAAGCAGCAGCCACTCCCTGAACAGCCTGCGCCGTGACACAAGGCAAGCTCTTTTGGTGAAGCCACACGGGGGCTCAAGAAGCGTCGGTAAAGTGACCGTATTCGGGTGCCATGTCTGAGACTTCTAGCCACCTAAGAGAGAATGGACAGTGGAACAGAGAGTAAATACCACAGGCCCTTCTCCTGTAAACCCCAGCCTGGCCTCCCTCCAGAACCACCAGCACTGACGAGATTGAAAGACACCTTGTGACTCTTGCTTTGACTAGCAGGGCACGGCTGGAAGACGCTGTTAAGAATGCTCAATCTCTTTCCTCCAGCAGCTGCTGGGGGAAGGGTGAAAGAGCAAGAGCGTGCAAAGATCCCAGCTCTCCGCTGTGGATTAAGAATGTTAAGAGGCTGGTAACTGGCTAATTGTGTAGTCGATACAAATTGAATGGACTACATGATTAGTCAATAAGGGAAGGCGCTTGGTCTCGGCTCGCTACCCCTGCTGCGGCTCTGCAGTTTAAACACAGGAAGAGGTGGGTGTGCAGGCAGCCTGGCTCATACCACATTTACACTGCAGAGCCAGAGCAGGACTAGGTCCCAAACCTGGCACGAACTGAGACTGTGCTAGCCCAGCTCAGTCCCGGCTTGTGCCGGCATTTTAAATGTAGTAAGAGCTGGCTTGGCTCCTACTACTGCTAAACTGCTGAGCTGCAGCAGGGGTAGCTCCTGGACCCGGCGCGAGCTCGGACTGAGCCGGGCTTGCTCAGTCCTGGTTTGCACCAGGTCCAGCAGCCCCTGTCCACGAGGAGTTCCAGCAGGGAGCTAGGACCCTGGGGGGCACCATCCCCCCTCCCACAGACTGAGTGTACGCGCGGGTGTGTGCGTGGGGGGCACCATCCCCCCTCCCACAGACTGAGTGTACGCGCGGGTGTGTGCGTGGGGGGCACCATCCCCCCTCCCACAGACTGAGTGTACGCGCGGGTGTGTGCGTGGGGGGCACCATCCCCCCTCCCACAGACTGAGTGTACGCGCGGGTGTGTGCGTGGGGGGCACCATCCCCCCTCCCACAGACTGAGTGTACGCGCGGGTGTGTGCGTGGGGGGCACCATCCCCCCTCCCACAGACTGAGTGTACGCGCGGGTGTGTGCGTGGGGGGCACCATCCCCCCTCCCACAGACTGAGTGTACGCGCGGGTGTGTGCGTGGGGGGCACCATCCCCCCTCCCACAGACTGAGTGTACGCGCGGGTGTGTGCGTGGGGGGCACCATCCCCCCTCCCACAGACTGAGTGTACGCGCGGGTGTGTGCGTGGGGGGCACCATCCCCCCTCCCACAGACTGAGTGTACGCGCGGGTGTGTGCGTGGGGGGCACCATCCCCCCTCCCACAGACTGAGTGTACGCGCGGGTGTGTGCGTGGGGGGCACCATCCCCCCTCCCACAGACTGAGTGTACGCGCGGGTGTGTGCGTGGGGGGCACCATCCCCCCTCCCACAGACTGAGTGTACGCGCGGGTGTGTGCGTGGGGGGCACCATCCCCCCTCCCACAGACTGAGTGTACGCGCGGGTGTGTGCGTGGGGGGCACCATCCCCCCTCCCACAGACTGAGTGTACGCGCGGGTGTGTGCGTGGGGGGCACCATCCCCCCTCCCACAGACTGAGTGTACGCGCGGGTGTGTGCGTGGGGGGCACCATCCCCCCTCCCACAGACTGAGTGTACGCGCGGGTGTGTGCGTGGGGGGCACCATCCCCCCTCCCACAGACTGAGTGTACGCGCGGGTGTGTGCGTGGGGGGCACCATCCCCCCTCCCACAGACTGAGTGTACGCGCGGGTGTGTGCGTGGGGGGCACCATCCCCCCTCCCACAGACTGAGTGTACGCGCGGGTGTGTGCGTGGGGGGCACCATCCCCCCTCCCACAGACTGAGTGTACGCGCGGGTGTGTGCGTGGGGGGCACCATCCCCCCTCCCACAGACTGAGTGTACGCGCGGGTGTGTGCGTGGGGGGCACCATCCCCCCTCCCACAGACTGAGTGTACGCGCGGGTGTGTGCGTGGGGGGCACCATCCCCCCTCCCACAGACTGAGTGTACGTGTGTGTGTGGTGCACCATCCCCCCTCCCACAGACTGAGTGTACGCGCGGGTGTGTGCGTGGGGGGCACCATCCCCCCTCCCACAGACTGAGTGCACGTGTGTTTACTTGGGAGCCAAGAGAGGATTTGGGCAGGTTTCCCCGGATGAGAAACTTGGGCACCTGCCTATGGTGGCACCGAATTCTCTCCAATGAGCAGGACTTAGGCCTTAGGCCTTCCCCAGGCTTGTGCTGTCGTAAGCCGTGTGCGGCAAGAGACCCCGGCGGCTGCTCGAGCCACACACTACCAGTGTTTAGACGGAGGTCTAAGACCAGGATTTGAGTTACCCAATCACAGCAGCTGGAACAAGCAGCACCATTGCGCCAAAGAGAAAGGGGAAACCCTTCATGAAGTGCAGGCTCGCAGGGTAGAGGGAGTTGAACACTCCTGTGGCCACAAGTGAGCAGAGTCCTTCAACGCAGGCAACAGAGGCAAAAAGAGCACCTGGAAGGAGGCCAAGGGCAGAACTTAGCAGCACGGCTCCTCTTTGGAGACTGAACACTCCTGCCCACCGCTCCCTCAGGAGGTGACCCTACTGCTCTGCAGTGCAGGTGCCAGGGTCTAACAAGCACGATGGATCAAGCTGTGCTCCTGGGGACTCAACTGCCCTCCACGAGCTGCATGCACCAGGGCTGAATTCGGACAGTGCAGAAAGGAACTCAAGGCAAGCACCAAGGCCACGTTATGGCTCAACGACTAGGAAGTGCTGCACATTCAGTTTGAGACCCTTGAATAAACTGACACTCACTTCAGTCTAAGGGGGCCTCACCTGAGTTGCCTGGAGCAACCAGCACTTTCCATTTAACCATTGGGAAAGCATTTCTGGGCTGCACCGCACCGCGCCCTTCCCCCATCTCTCCTGAGTCTGCAGTGGCATTTAGCGATCTTAAATTGCATGTAATCAGCTAATTGAGTAGTCGATGGAATTTCCATCAACTACTCGTTTAGTCGGGAAACTGCAGAGCCACAGCAGGGATAACCCTGCCAGCCCACAACCCTGGGAGCTAATCTTGCTGCGGTTCTGCCTTTTAAATGTATTAAGAGCCCACCAAGTAGAGGCGCAGCGTTTGGAATCAGCTGATTCCTGGCTCGTGCCCAGTCCCTGGCTATGCCTCTGCGTCCCCTGTTTCCCCGCCCCAGACAGCACTGGGGGAATTGGCTTTTAAGATGGTTTCCCCCAGCATCAGCTCCTGCTCCCCTACCCTTTGTCTCTCTGCGGTTCTGCCTTTTAAATGTATTAAGAGCCCACCAAGTAGAGGCGCAGCGTTTGGAATCAGCTGATTCCTGGCTCGTGCCCAGTCCCTGGCTATGCCTCTGCGTCCCCTGTTTCCCCGCCCCAGACAGCACTGGGGGAATTGGCTTTTAAGATGGTTTCCCCCAGCATCAGCTCCTGCTCCCCTACCCTTTGTCTCTCTCTAAAAGAGACAGCGGGGTGGGGGTGGGTGGGTGGGTGGGGGGAGAAGCAACTAGTTGAGTTACTACTTGACTACCCGATAAGCATTTGGTTATCAGATAGTCGACTAGTCACTTACATCTCTAGTGGCATTTCCAGCCACGTCCGCAAACCGGGGGTTGGGAGGCAGAGAGGCACAGCTCTTCCCAATCTCACAAAGAAGGGTAACCCTTCGCCCAGTGGGGACATCCTGGCTGTGTCTAGACTGCATCCCTTTTCTGTAAAAGGGATGCAAATTAGACACATCGCAATTGCAAATGAAGCAGGGATTTAAATCCCCCCCGCTTCATTTGCATAAAAATGGCTGCCGCTTTTTTCAGGCTCGGAGCTTTGCCGGAAAAAAGCACCAGTCTAGACGCGGATCGTTCGGAAAATAAAGCCTTTTACGAAAGATCCCTTGGGATAAAGGATCTTTACGGAAAAGGGATGCAGTCTAGACCCAGCCCCTGAGTAATGCTGAGTTCTTATGATGGCTGCCAGCTTCTGTAGGACAAAGCCTTACCCTGGGGTTCTAGTGTTTCCAGAGTTTATTTTTAACCTGTTCTAACTCCTGTTCCCATGGCAAGTTTTGAAGCCAGAGGAAGGTCCTCAGTGACCCATCCCCAAGCTTTCATGCGATACTTTTCCCTTTAACTACATCTCCCTCTGTACATTCTCTTCTCCAGCAGGTGCACTGCACTGCCCAGAGAAACTGCCTACAATGCTTCAGTGCGAGTGTCTGGTGCAGGGCCTAGGGATGTGCACACATTCTGGGAAAGGAGGGCTCAGAAGAAGGTTGAGATTCCCTGACCTATTTCTTTGGTATCTCCTGCCAGGAGAGGCCAAGCCACACTCCCTGAGTTGTTTGGGGTTCGCGTGTCATGCAGACATCACTAGGCTGGAGTGTGTCAGGACCTACTGTGGGTTACGCGATTTGATCCCTTACCCTGATCTTTCTCATCCACCAGTTTGGACAGCTTGGCCCGGATCACTGGAGTGGCTGCCATGGAAAGAAACAGGATGCCATAGCCTGTGAGTGAGAAATAAGACACACTCAGGAAGCTCCTTTAGCTCTGGAATAACATTGGTGCTTCAAACAAAACCCACCCCCCAAACAGAACACTTGTAGCTGTCAGGGAGGCTGCCAATGCCACCCTCCTGCCCATCAGCCCACCCTTCAGGCCTGCTTCCTTCTATGGCCCCATCGGGCCTCCACGTGTGGCTTAAAAACCTTGTTTGTGTGGGTTTTGGTTGGTTCACAACTGTGTGCAAAGACTCCCTCTAGCAGAACCGCTACCACCTCATGGTGACTGTAAATACAAGGTGTGACAGGCTTTCGTACGGGAGAGCCCAGCAATTCTGGGATATGGGTACTTTGGAGAAGTCTCCTCTGCCTTCCTGACTTTTCAGGCGGATGCCACTCACTTTCAGCTAGGACACTGGGCTGCCCGTATTGAGGGATTCAACCTCACCTGTGAACATCAGCGGAGTTGTAGAAGCAAGTGAAATCACAACCAAGCCTGAGATGTTGGAAAGCAACCCTAACTCTGCCACCCAGGTGTCTTCAAGGCACAGCTGCAGTGCCCGCAGCCCTGCCAAGCTGCTCAGGTAAGCCAGGTAACTCGCCGCTGAGCCATAGCCTATGAGATCTGAGCCCCAGCAGAGGGGGGAGCTGAGTTCGTACAGGACAAAGAGTTCTCTGGCTCCAAAGTGAATGGTGACAATGAGAAAGAAAGCCAGAGAGTAGAGAGCAAGTTTCTGCCTGGAGCTCTGGTGCCCTGGGGCTGCATACAGCCTGTACACAGACACGTAGTGACGGAGGGTGAACAGCTTGGCTGGTTTCCTCTCCTTCACCGACTCCTGGAGACACAGAGCAGCATAGAGGGCAGTGGTAAGACTGACAGCAAACACTAGCCAGAAGGGATTGATGTAGCCCTGAGCTTTGCGCCACTGCCCTCCGATGAGGCTGGCCAGCATGCCTGCCACACCCAGGCACGCCTCCAGGATGGCCACGCGGAACGTACGGGAACGCTGGTCACTGATGTCGGCCGCATAGGCAAAGCAGCTGGCCAGGATCAGGTTGTAGTCTCCCAGGAGGCCACACAGGATGCGCCCAAGCAGGAAGTAGCCAACGTGCAGCCTCAGGTACATGACAAAGAGATAGATGGCGGCCTGCAAGGCCATGCCCACCGCAGGCAGAACAAGTGCTGGCCGGCGCCCCACGCTGTCACTCCACGGCCCAAAGAGCGTCACGGAGAAGAGACCCACAAAGAAGCCTCCTAGGTTGATGTAGAGGTTCCAGTGGGCGGCCAAGGTTGCCACCTCCTGAGACAGAAGGACACAGACATCAGGAGACGAGGCCAGAGCTGGCGACTGGCCCTGTGCGTTGGGGGTGGGGTGGCAGCCCCCTAGAAGGGGCAGACGCTGTCACTCCACGGCCCAAAGAGCGTCACGGAGAAGAGACCCACAAAGAAGCCTCCTAGGTTGATGTAGAGGTTCCAGTGGGCGGCCAAGGTTGCCACCTCCTGAGACAGAAGGACACAGACATCAGGAGACGAGGCCAGAGCTGGCGACTGGCCCTGTGCGTTGGGGGTGGGGTGGCAGCCCCCTAGAAGGGGCAG